TTTAGATTATTTTTATGAACGGAGAGGAGATCGGACTCATATGCAAACGAACGAACATACCACTTATTTCAACAAATTAATATTTTATTTTATTAGGAAATATTTTAAATTATTTTAATATACGAAGAAGAGATCAAACTTATATGCAAACGAACGAACATACCGCCTTAGCCAACTAACCTAACTCATATCTACATTTCAACAAATTGATATAATAAAAAAGTGCTATGCCATGCCAAGTTGAAGCATTTGTTCGAACATGTAAGCTATGTCAAGTTTTGAACATGTATGGTGATCTTAGTCCTGGTCAACAAATTAATATTTAATTTTATCAAGCAATATTTTAGATTATTTTTATGAACGGAGAGGAGATCGGACTCATATGCAAACGAACGAACATACCACTTATTTCAACAAATTAATATTTTATTTTATTAGGAAATATTTTAAATTATTTTAATATACGAAGAAGAGATCAAACTTATATGCAAACGAACGAACATACCGCCTTAGCCAACTAACCTAACTCATATCTACATTTCAACAAATTGATATAATAAAAAGTGTTATGTCGTGCCAAGTTGAAGCATCTGTTCGAACATGTATGCTATGTCAAGTTTTGAACATGTGTATGATGATCTCAGTCCAAATTTGCAAAGTCTTGAACATGGTTAGCTAGCAAGAATCTTCCACAGTGGTTATTTATTTGAGATATTTAGTCATATAACAATTCTTAGCACAAAAAATATAAATAAACCCTACACCATTTAATTTATATAAACAAACCCAAAAAAAACCTAAAAAATAACAGCTGGCTCTATTTAATTTAATTTTGATTATTAAATTACTTTGATGCCCTATTGAGTTTTTTGGGTTTTTTTATGAGCTTTTGGGGTTAGGCTTGTTTTAAGAAATCGATGGCAGTTTTGTAATTTATAAGAAGCTAAAAGCCTCTTTGTTATGTTGTAAATGAGATTTGGGTGTGTTTCTAAAGTCCATTTCCTATATGATATTTTTATAATTCCGGCCCCTTTATTGGGTATAATAGTGAATCTCCCCTATTTATTTCTCTCTGTCATCGTCATATCACACAATTGTATGGCAAAGTTTTTCCCTAAATCCAATACATATTTTCCTAACTTCTTAGGCCGACTTTTACTCGTTTTCCCCAATATCTAGTTCGGTTAACAATGCCTAATTTTCCATTTCACATTAAAAACATATTTAAATAAACTTTTATGCTCAAAAGAAATAGTAAAAAAGGATAGCCCATTTGCATTTGGTTGACTCCGTCTAGATTTGATGGAGAAAATTCCCTCCACTATCATTCACCTTTGTCATTCATTTTTAGAAATTTTGTTTTGCTTCATTTTTCTTCGTATCATTTCAACGAAATTGTTAGATATTTGTTTTTATACTGTTAATTTAACTTCATTTGAGCCTCTCTAATGGATGTTTCAAATGTACAAAGCAAAAGTGTTCTTTTAGGTATGGTATATTTTCCGTGAAGAAGAGGTACAGTAAAATTTGCTAACCTTCTAACCACATATGCAGTAATTGGAGTTACTCTTAGGAAAGTCAATTTGCGGTAACTCTTTTGGGATTTTGCATTTTGTTTCTTTTTTCCCTTTAAAATTTTGCAATATGTGTTTCAACTTACAACGTAACAATTTGTTGAAAGTAATGACTTATAATTCGAATGATACTTTCATCTCTCTACATTCGAGGAATAGGGTTTAATTCTTACATTCTTCTTCCCTTGAATCAAAAGAATTGTTTATTAAAAGGGAATGAAATTGAGGTTAGAGAGGGGAAAGTGGAGGACTGACTTGGGGAGACTTGAACTTAATAAGAAGCATTACAAATTAACATCATGTTTTCTTCGTCTTACCCGCCAATTTTGAAAAGGGGTCATTAGGCCGTTTTGCACCACTCAATCTGCCTACATAAGAACCCAGCGCCAACATTTTAATTCACAATAATCTCATTCTTAAGTCTCCTCCTCTCAACCCTCTTAATTTCCCTCTCTCTTCCTTCTCCTTGAGTAGCATTTGAAAGTGAATAATGGGTTCCCATTATTTTGCAAAAGCCCTAGCAATGGTGCTAATTGCTTCAATGCTGGCAGTTGGCTCAGCCAACAAGGATTGGGAATATGGCAACTACACTGGTTGGGGTTTCAACCATGGCTCATATCACCTCAACGAGACCAAAGGACCCAACAAAATCACAGTTGGTGGGTCAGAAAACTGGCATTACGGATTTAACTACAAACAGTGGGCTTTGCAGAATGGCCCCTTTTACATCAAGGATACTCTAGGTGAGCTTTCATCTTTAGCTTAGTAAAGAAGATTATCGACATTGATAATCTGATAACATAATATGTCAAAATGTCTAACTACAGAAAGTTCCCTCACTTATATTTGTTATAATTATAATAACTTGTTTACGAAATTTGCTTCACTATAAGCAACCCTTTTTCTATGATGAACTTGCAGTTTTCAAGTACGATCCCCCAAATGACACCACACGACCTCACAGCGTGTACTTGTTTCAAAACCCTTGGAGCTTCAGGAACTGTGACTTAAGCCAGGCTAGGATGGTTGGAAATCAGACACAAGGAGGAGGGGAAGGCTTTGAGTTTGTGCTCAAGAAGTGGAAGCCTTACTACTTCGCTTGCGGCGAGCATGATGGCCATCATTGTAATGAAGGACTGATGAGGTTCATCGTCTTCCCAATGTATCGCGGCTGGCATTACTGATCTTCTGGCTATGGAGCCTTTCTAATGTTCTTAATTATTAATTAGCTTTTTGAGCAAATAACAAGACTTGTTATGCAAGTTTTGAGAAAGTATAGTTGATAATTTCATGATTGTTAATTCTTTTTATCTAGTTTAAAGATATAATACTATATGATTACGCGTGTGCCAATTTTTTTTTTGTAACATAAGTTTTTAATCAAGCATTCAAACATTCGTTGTCTTCCTACGTTAAATTATTAACCTTATTAGCCAAACGTCCATGCAAACATTCACAAAAAGGACTACATCAACTTGACATTTTCTGTTTACTAATTTATTAGTTTATTTATATGAACTTGGATTGGGACCCCAAGAGCAGCTAAATACGCCTTCTGTGTGACAGTCCCTGAGTCTTTGGCCATTGGAATGGTTTGCATGATTGTCGTCTTGATAACCAAAGACTACTTTTCTGTCATCTTCACAAGCAAGGAATTGCAACAAGCTGCTGCCAAGCTAGCCTATTTCTTCATGGAATTACCATGGTTCTTAATAGTGTCTAACCCTGATTTCGGGTATCGATCGAGTTACTTTGCTTCTCCTCAGTTCCCTCTCTGTATGCAGGTTTTCACTGGATTCATGATTTCAGGTGTTGGTATTGGAGGTGGATGGCAAGTACTGGTGGCTTATATCAGCTTGGGTTGTTGGTTATTACATTTTTGGCCTCCCACTTGGGTTCCTTCTTGGTTATAAAGCAAACTTGGGAGTGAAGGTAAAACATTTCAGTCTCAGTTCCACAGCTAAATTTTGTGAGATTCTTTCGTCTTCACAGTCTCTAATCTTTGTTTTGTCCAGCTACAGCTAGTTTTAATACCAACATTTGTTCATTGTTGTAGGGAATATGGGGAGGCATGATATGTGGAACTGCTCTTCAGACGTTGCTTCTTTTGATAGTGCTTCATAGAACCCTCTGGAACAAGGAGGTAAGTTAAAATCTGCTAGAAAAATCGATAAGGACTTCAGCATTCCTGGTGAAAGGCAATAATCGTAATTTTTTTTCTTGGCAGGTTGAACAATCTTCGGAGTGAATGAAGAAGCGGGGGAGACGTTGAAGATGAGAAGATAGCTAACAGCATATAAAGATCCTAAAAGAAATTCATATCATGTTTCTCCAGAGACTAGATAGTCCTGAGTACCTAAAATCTCCTTGCTTATATTGGCCAGAATTTCTCTGGAAAGTCATGTTTTGGAGTGGTACAGAATTTACCTGTCAATTTCATTCAACTGGTTTATCTGATTTCCCCTTTTCAGGGTTCTCTTTCATCATCAATATTGTCAATTTGTTTTAACTGCTTTCAGCCAAAAAATGACCGTCATTACGCGCACAAAACCCTAATGCACAACGGAAACATAATAGAGAAAAAAAATTGGCGAGCATTCTAATGAGACATCAATACAACAAATTTTGCATTCCACCAAATGATCAAACGAAACTATTTTATAAAAAGCAAAAATGTATCAAACATTGACCCACGAGTTCGAAACTACATAAAAGGCAACTCTAACTAGTAAGTAGTTAAAACTAGAAAGCAAAACTTATCAAGCCATGCTGCTCATGGGTGATAATATTATACATGGCCAACAATTCTAAGCAGCAGTTTTTGACTTCTTTGGCACACGATAGCCACCAACAACACAAGCATGGTCGCGCTCGAAAGGTTCAAGAGTGACTTGTTCCATAGGCTTAAACTGATCTGCCTGCAGCCTCTTCACCTCCTGTTGGAACACTGCTTCCGCAGGTGAGGTTGAATCAATGCAATTGGCCTGAAATGACAAACTACATTCATCAAACACTGGACTATGCAGCGAGAGGCAACTTTCCACAGTCAAACTACTTAAATGAATATAATAGGCTAAGGGACTTCATGTCTTATGACAAAGACTACTGAGAATTTTGAAAGCAAACCTTAATTGAGATAACGAAGTGACCTCCAGCCTTGAGAAAATACGACGCATTCAATGCTACAATCCTAGCCTGCAAAATCATTAAAGAGAGCAAACAATTTTCAGATGCAAATGGCTTAAGTGAGCTAGGAGAAACCAGTGGCAAGAGATTGTGGCCAAGCCTAAAGCCTCAACCCCGAGTGCCTTGCCAACACGATCATAACATTGACGTGCAGGCTACCAGAAAAACAAGAGAGAGAGAGAGAGAGAGAGAGAGAGAGAAGGCAAGCAACACCACAAAATCAACTACTTGACATCAGGAGCATCAGAAACTCGACTTACATCACCCATTATGTCTTGAAGGGGAATCCGAGTACTTCGTCACATGCTCAATATAGTAGTAAACACAACTTCTACAAATACATTGAAGGGACATAAAGAAAAAAATAAATAAATGCATGACTCATTGCACTGAGCCATGACAAGAATGGGTAGAACAAGTACATACAAAACCTTGTAAGCAAAAAAGGAATAAGCATGAAAAAAGCTTGTCTTAATACACTGAGCCGATGAAAAAGACAAACAGAAAGGGCATTTCAAAAGACAAACGCATTACGCATCAGAAAACTCGAGCTCACATCATACATGACATCCTGAAGGGGAATCCGAGTTAACTCATCACATGCGTGAAAGTAACACAAAACAATTATGCTTTGTTGAAAACATACAAAACCTTGTAAGCAAAAAAGGAATAAGCATGAAAAAAGCTTGTCTTAATACACTGAGCTGATGAAAAAGACACAAACAGAAAGGGCATTTCAAAAGACAAATGCATTACGCATCAGAAAACTCGAGCTCACATCATACATGACATCCTGAAGGGGAATCCGAGTTAAATCATCACATGCGTGAAAGATAACACAAAACAATTATGCTTTGTCGAAAACATAAAAATCCAACTCAGATAATAGCAAATGCAACACAGGTGATATGGATTAGTAAATCAATAAGCTAAAAGAACAAACCCACATGAAGTATGGAAATCCTTGAACTTGCAAAAGCCTCAAGAAAGGCTCTGCCACCAGCTCAACCAAAGAATACCACCCCAAGTCTCTCCATATTTAAAGTTAGCTACTAGCAAAGAAAAGAATTGCAAGAAACAAACCTGATCAGGTTGTGCAACATCAGAAAATATCACATCAACCATGCCAACAAGCATACGATATTTAGCTGGATGTCTGGCATCTTCAATAATGGGTATAACATTCGTGCGCTTCTTTGCCATGTTTACCAAGTCTCTGCCACTTCTATGAGAAAACTCCACTGCATAGACAACTCCAGTCTACACAAACAACAGCAGTTATAAGAATCTATTATCAGCTTAACCAATTTAAGAACTGCAGTATTAAAAATAACACTTACAGGGCCAACAATGTCAGACACATGAGACACTGTGGTGCCAGAAGCAGCACCAAGGTAGAGAACACGAGCACCAGGTTTCTTCATCGACATACAGAAACAGAGAGATTGTAAACTCAAAATCATGGATAGAAAAAAGACAAAACAGAATGGAAGAAAACTTGGAGTCAAAACTTACAATCCATATATCATCAACACCACCGAGAATAGCTGCAGCCAACTTAGAACGGAAAGGGTTCCAAATTCTATATTCAACTTTTGTTCCATCCTCATTCTGAAAGGAAGAAAATGCACTTTAAGGTGATCTTCAAATTTTTTATTACATTCATCAACCATGAAAATAAAAATTGCAAGACACAGCAGGAACCAATAAGTCATCCGTAAAGCTATTGCTTTGAAAATCAATTGTTTTGAAGGCATTTAAACAAGAAAACTAACGAAAGAAACCGACCTGAACAGATATCCTCTTCTCGTTGTAAACAGCTTCCCCGGGCACCATATTCTTGGTTACAAGAGCATCTTCTTTACCCTTGGCAATGAACACCCCTTCATGTCTGTGAGGCTCGACAACTACTTTGTTTCCACCCTTCATTCCTCCCCTTCCACCACCACGGCCTCTTCCTCCACGGCCCCCACGATCACCACCACGTCCTCCGCCACGGCTTTTAAAGGCACTACCACCTCTGTCACCGCCTCTTCCACCACCACCAAACCTGCCTCCTCCTCTTCCACCTCTCCCTCCATCACCCCTGCCCCTGAATCCACCACCGCTACCACCACGACCTGCACAAAACTCACAAAACTATAAGGGCTGCTGCTAAAACTTCACAACAATAACAACCATAAACTCAAAAAAGTAAAACAACTCAGAAACTAAGAATCCAAATGAAGAATGTATAGTAAAGAACTGAAATTTTATTTATATTTTGTTGAATACAAATTACCCAGAAGAACCAAACCAAAAGCATAAAATGTATTTTCAGCAGACTACACAGATCAATCATATTTTGCTCTACCTCGAGGAGGTGCCATCTCTGCGATTGTTGTTGTGAGCGGCTATGGAGATTTACCAAAAAAAAATAAAATAATAAATATATATATATATATATATATAAGAATTCATTCGTGCAATAATAACTCTAAAATTAATCGAATGGATATTAAGGACCCCCGCATTATAACCACTCATTACATTACAGTGCTAGAAAACATACACAAAGGGTTAAATGATTTATGGACCTTTGTGTTTCTTATTCTTTTGAGAGGGCCTCTAACTAGTATGGATTGATTGACAAGGCCCAATTTAAATGGGTCAGTCTGTTAGGCCTTCTCTAACTTAACTCTTCTGGAATTTAGTGAATTTTCTATCAAATTTTTCCTTTTTCATCTAACTTGTCGACTCATTCACGACCATGGGTATAGCATAGCCTACACCATGTGTGCTCTTTGCTCATGCCTCATGTGATTGGAAGGACGAACCCTGGTCCCTAGCTATAACCATGTAGAACTCATAGAACGGAATCATGACCTCCATGTAAAAATACAATGATCAAGAGCCAAATCTGTCTAAATCTTTGGGTTGGTTGGCAGTTGGGAAAACGTTCCTTCATGGACCATTATGTGACTAATGAGGAGGGTACATAGTACCTCTGTTGATTTTGTGGTTAGCTTCCCTTCATCTATTTTCTTGTGGTTGTGGTTGGGGTTAGCTTTCACTCGGAACTAGATGGTAGACAAATGTATCTGGAATTTTTTTTTATCAAATATAAACTTCAACGGTACAATCAAAGACATCAACAAAATATGTAAAATATCAATCCCGAGGGGGCAACAAACTAACATACTAAATGCAAAACTAAACCAGACAAAAGCCGCACTAAAACTACTAGCTCATAACAGCACAATCAACCAGAAGCCCAAACAAAGCCCACAAACCCAACATAACGAAAACCCTAAAACAACTCATGAGCCTAGACGACCCTAAAATAGGATTTCCAGCAATCTACTTGGGCATAAAAGCAAAAAAATAAAACAAAACAACAACTTTGCCAAAGAACAATTAAGTTATTTGCAGTAACCTCCGTCAAAGACAATGTAGAATCAACTTTAGAGAAGATGAGCGGCGTTAGGGAGAGGGTTTTGGAAGCAGGATTTGATTGAAAACATAGATTAAAAGGGGTGATGGGGAACTTCAATCTAACCATGGCTCAGAAGAAACCACCACAAAGAGTTTTTTATTCAAAATGCCCCAATAGACTTATTCACTAATCTAAAAGGAAAATATGAGAAAAGAGGAATGGAAGGAGGGGCAGTGACGCTTCTTCCTCCTCCCCCATCTATGAAGTTTTCCTTTAGGACTCACAAAAGGAGAGAGCGGCTAAAATTTCTTGGGAGAAAAAATTACCAATGTATATGGATTTAAGTTGGCTTCCAAGTTTTATTTTCTATTCCCCCTAGCATGACCATTTTGTGTGAAAGCGGAAAATATCAATGGAAATTACTATGATGTGCAATATGGGCGTAACAAATGTGATAACTGGGACTTTGTAATTCGACCTATACATAGCATTTGTCTCTGCACTGACCATCATAATCAAACATCATCATCTTTGTACCTCTTTTTAGAAAAACAAATAATGTTTTCTCTTGCTATTGCTTATTTGTAGAATGGATATTAAGGACCCCCGCATTATAACCACTCATTACAGTGCTAGAGAACATACACAAAGGGCTAAATGATTTATGGACCTTTGTGTTTCTTATTCTTTTGAGAGGGCCTCTAACTAGTATGGATTGATTGACAAGGCCCAATTTAAATGGGTCAGTCTGTTAGGCCTTCTCTAACTTAACTCTTCTGGAATTTAGTGAATTTTCTATCAAATTTTTCCTTTTTCATCTAACTTGTCGACTCATTCACGACCATGGGTATAGCATAGCCTACACCATGTGTGCTCTTTGCTCATGCCTCATGTGATTGGAAGGACGAACCCTGGTCCCTAGCTATAACCATGTAGAACTCATAGAACGGAATCATGACCTCCATGTAAAAATACAATGATCAAGAGCCAAATCTGTCTAAATCTTTGGGTTGGTTGGCAGTTGGGAAAACGTTCCTTCATGGACCATTATGTGACTAATGAGGAGGGTACATAGTACCTCTGTTGATTTTGTGGTTAGCTTCCCTTCATCTATTTTCTTGTGGTTGTGGTTGGGGTTAGCTTTCACTCGGAACTAGATGGTAGACAAATGTATCTGGAATTTTTTTTTATCAAATATAAACTTCAACGGTACAATCAAAGACATCAACAAAATATGTAAAATATCAATCCCGAGGGGGCAACAAACTAACATACTAAATGCAAAACTAAACCGGACAAAAGCCGCACTAAAACTACTAGCCCATAACAGCACAATCAACCAGAAGCCCAAACAAAGCCCACAAACCCAACATAACGAAAACCCTAAAACAACTCATGAGCCTAGACGACCCTAAAATAGGATTTCCAGCAATCTACTTGGGCATAAAAGCAAAAAAACAAAACAAAACAACAACTTTGCCAAAGAACAATTAAGTTATTTGCAGTAACCTCCGTCAAAGACAATGTAGAATCAACTTTAGAGAAGATGAGCGGCGTTAGGGAGAGGGTTTTGGAAGCAGGATTTGATTGAAAACATAGATTAAAAGGGGTGATGGGGAACTTCAATCTAACCATGGCTCAGAAGAAACCACCACAAAGAGTTTTTTATTCAAAATGCCCCAGTAGACTTATTCACTAATCTAAAAGGAAAATATGAGAAAAGAGGAATGGAAGGAGGGACAGTGACGCTTCTTCCTCCTCCCCCCTCTATGGAGTTTTCTTTTAGGACTCACAAAAGGAGAGAGCGGCTAAAATTTCTTGGGATAAAAAATTACCAATGTATATGGATTTAAGTTGGCTTCCAAGTTTTATTTTCTATTCCCCCTAGCATGACCATTTTGTGTGAAAGCGGAAAATATCAATGGAAATTACTATGATGTGCAATATGGGCGTAACAAATGTGATAACTGGGACTTTGTAATTCGACCTATACATAGCATTTGTCTCTGCACTGACCATCATAATCAAACATCATCATCTTTGTACCTCTTTTTAGAAAAACAAATAATGTTTTCTCTTGCTATTGCTTATTTGCTTACAATTTCTATAGTCTTTCTAGAAATAAAAGTAAACATTAAATCATATAAACCACGCTAGTTCATAGCTCCATAGACTTATTTTCAATAAGTTTTAACATAGACCAAATAGGGTTTAACACCATAGTAGATTGAATATCTAAGGCGTTTTACCTAGATTGACCTTAGGTTCCTTCATACATTCATATCATACATGAAAAATTGTTTTATGTAAAATATTGACTAAGTATGAAAAATGGGTACACCATGTGTGCTCTTTGCTCATGCCTCATGTGATTGGAAGGACGAACCCTGGTCCCTAGCTATAACCATGTAGAACTCATAGAACGGAATCATGACCTCCATGTAAAAATACAATGATCAAGAGCCAAATCTGTCTAAATCTTTGGGTTGGTTGGCAGTTGGGAAAACGTTCCTTCATGGACCATTATGTGACTAATGAGGAGGGTACATAGTACCTCTGTTGATTTTGTGGTTAGCTTCCCTTCATCTATTTTCTTGTGGTTGTGGTTGGGGTTAGCTTTCACTCGGAACTAGATGGTAGACAAATGTATCTGGAATTTTTT